TATAATTGGTGTAAATTTAAATGTTTGATACGTTGATGTACAAAAAAAATTATCATACGTATATTGCGCCGCCCCACATTTCATTCATGATTGATGCTATTGTTTAGGTGCATACAATCAAATCACCTTATATAGAAAGTCGTAATAAAATTACCGTATTTTATAATATGACGTTAAAATTTATCATTGAAAAAAATTTAAAGTTGGGAAATGGATAAAACAGGTTGGACATTTCTTAAGACGATGAATTAACACATGCAAGGAAAAGTTCTTAATAAGAAAAAATGGGCTGAAATTTACCTTTTATAATGAAAAATTTTTTCGTCTTTGGAGCAATCTTCCTACCCTTATCTAAAATTACATTTCACCTAGAACTTCTAAATAATCGTAAATTTAAAGAGAAATTATTCGTAAAATGGTTACAACAAATAAACCAGAGCAAAGGAAAAAGAAAAATGACGATGAAAATCAATTGCAACTCTACTCTTTGTGGAATGAAATAGGTTGTAAGGATTTAGATCATTTAAGAGAGTTATTAGCCGGGCAGAAACTTACAAAGATATTAGCAGAATTAGATGACCGAAGGCAAAATGTTAAAAACTTAAATTTTGATTTAACAAAAAAAAGTGAGGAATTATCAAGGTTGAGTTTTCAAATAAAATATTTAGAAGAAAATTTCAAAGAGCGAGAACAAGTAATCAAAGTCGAACAGCAAGAAACTATTAACGTTTTAGAAGGAAAGGTTAGAGAACGAGAAGATGCAGCTAAATCTAAGCAAGAAACGATCATTAACTTGGAAAAAAAAATTAGAGATCAAGAAGAAAAAATCGAAGCGCTGGCACTAGGTATCAATTATGATGATGCTATCAATAGTTTAGATATTACAGGAACCAATAAAGATGACATATCAAACACAACGGGAGGATTACAAAGATATCGAAAATTAAGAACTCTCAACTATTCATATACTCAAATAACTTGCCTGCCAAATTTACCTAAATCCTTGGCAACTCTTTATTGCAGCAGTACTAAAATAACCAGCTTACCGACATTACCGAACACTCTAGAGGAACTTTATTGTTATAGAACTCAAATAAATAGTTTACCGACTTTACCTTTTACTTTAAAAGTACTCTATTGCTACAATACTCAGATAACTAGATTGTCAAATTTACCCGGTTCCTTGAAAACCCTTCACTGTTCCGATACTCAAATATCTAGCTTGCCGACCTTACCTAAATCTTTAAAAGAACTCTATTGCTATAATACTCGGATAACTTGCTTACCTACTTTACCTAATTCCTTAACAACCCTTCACTGCTCTAATACTCAGTTAGTTACCTTACCAACCTTACCCAACTTTTTAAAAGAACTTTATTGCAATAGCATTCCAATAACCAACCTGCTAACTTTACCCAGCTCATTAACAACCCTTCACTGCTCCAATACTCAGATAGTTACCTTACCATACTTACCTAACTTTATAAAAGAATTTCATTGCAATGGAACTCTGATAACCAAATTGCCAACTTTGCCAAACTCCCTATCAATTCTTAATTGCAAAGATACTCCTATAATTAGTTTGCCACCTTTACCCAACTTTTTAGAAGAGCTTCACTGTTCTGATACTCAAATAACAAGCTTACCAATGTTACCCAATTCCTTAGAAAAATTATATTGCTATAGAACCCCTATTACCAACCTGTCAACTTTACCCTACTCCCTAAAAATTCTCAAATGTGATAATTCTCAAATAAGCAATTTACCAACTTTACCTAAATCTCTAAAAATACTTCATTGTAATAATACACCAATAACTAGTTTGCCAACTTTACCCAACTCTTTAGAAGAATTATATTGCTTTAAGACTCAAATAACTAGTTTACCAAATTTATCTAATTCCTTGGCGATTCTCAATTGTTCCGATACACAAGTAACTACATTACCAAATTTACCTAATTCATTAACATATTTCAATTGTAACAATACTCAGATAACTAGTTTACCAACTTTACCGAATTCCTTAACAACACTCTCCTGTTTTGATACTCAACTAATTAGCTTACCATCTTTACCCAACTTTTTAATAACATTATATTGTAATAACACTGAGATAACTAGTTTACCAATTTTACCTAATTCGTTAAAAGAGCTCTATTGCTATTACACTCAAATAGTTAACTTACCAGATTTACCTAATTCCTTAACGATTCTCAATTGTTCATATACACAAATGACTAGTTTACCAAATTTACCTAAATCCTTAACAACTCTTTATTGTGAAAATACTAAAATAACTAAATTATCAAAATTACCTAAATTCTTGGCAACTCTTTTTTGCTTTGATACTCAAATAACTAGTTTACCGTCTTTGTCTAACTTTCTAACAATACTTTACTGTAATAATACTAAGATAACTAGTTTACCAGCATTACCTATCGCTTTAAAAGAACTTTATTGTTACCATACTGAAATAACTAGTTTACCAGATTTACCAAATTCTTTAACAATTCTTAACTGTTCTTATACTCAAATCAATAGTTTACCAACTTTACCCGATTCCTTAACAACTCTTCGTTGCTTTGATACTCAAATAACTCACTTACCACCCTTACCAAACTCTTTAAAAGAACTTTATTGCTATTATACTCTTTTAACTAGTTTGCCAACTTTATCTAATTCCTTGGTTACTCTTAATTGTTCCAATACTCAAATAACTAGTTTACCAGCTTTGCCTGACACTTTGACAATTCTTATTTGCAAAAATACTCGAACAACTAGCTTACCAGATTTACCTAATTCTTTAACAACTCTTTATTGCTCTGATACTCAAATTACCGGCTTACCGACTTTACCAAATACTCTGAAAGAACTTTATTGTTATAGAACTCAAATTCTTAATTTACCGAATTTACCAGAATCTTTAACAACACTTAATTGCACTCATACTCAGATAATTAATTTACCAACATTACCTGCCTCTTTAACGACTCTTAACTTTGAAAATAATTAACTAAACTTTTCAATTGATTTACAGCTAATTTATAAAAATTTTTATAAAATCGTAAATTGAATTTATTTTTATGTCATTTTATTCCAATTTAAATTATAATTATTCGGGATAAGAGTTTTATTAAAAATATTTTTTTTTTTTATATTTCTCAAATTAATTATCAAATCAACTTATGTGGCAAATAAAAATATAAATTTACCTCTGAAATTTCGTCCAAAGTTAAATCTTTCATCATATGCTTTTAATAAACTAACAGACATATGCAGAAGCTCTTTTTAGACTCAGCTCATGGCAGCATCACAAATCAATTTTAACAGAAAATCATTTTATTTTACAAATTTTTTACGACAGTTGCGTAAATAATACTGACCAAACGCTTCTTTAAGACAATATAATCGGGCAAATCAATGCCTCAAAAGGAAATCAGAGTTAAGTAGAATTAAATTTTTAAATATAAAATCTTCCGCGTCATTAAAATTCGAGATACAAATATATATGTACACACGCAAAATTTAAGTATTTACAATAATTCTCAAAAGATTTGATAAAATATTATATATGTTTGATAAAAGATTGCAAGATACTATTTATCTTTTTGCGTATGAAGATATACATTTATTATCATTCGGTTTTAAATCCGGTTTTAACCGGTTTTCTGACCATTCGGTTTGACCCGATTTTTGAACACCGGCCTTTTCTCATGTAATACTTTACAAAATATAATAAAGAATTTTGATTGATTTTTAATTTACAAGCGATACAAATAATATATAGTACATGCGGATCGAATAATGACGATGGCTTAGTTACAGCGCAAAAATCTGATTGGCTGAACCTCGTGATTTGAGTTGCGGGAAGAAGCATGCGCTAGGGTGATACACTGGTGATACCTGTGATATGGTTTACGTCATGCTAAGCAACCTGAAAATAATTTAGCCATCTCAAAATTAAATTTTTCGAGGTGAATGTATGACGAAAAGAGAAATCACATACAAAAATTGAATTATCGATTGTTTTAATCAATACTCAATAATGACACGAAAATTGATGATAAACATTATTCGGGGTAGATCTTACTACATATTTAGCTCCGGAGCGGACAGGTCTTGTGCGACATATTAATTTTCGCATGCTAACCAGTACATCTATTTTTTCCCGAACAAACATGAGAAAAAATGTGAAATAGAGGGAAATTCACAAAAAAATGTGAAAGGAGTTTGCAATTTCAAAGTATCAATATGAAAACAATTCATATTTAATTCAACAAAATCGGAAATAAATAAGTTAGATTGACCTTAGTATGAACCATTTCTTTATAATGAATACAAACTTGGAAAAAAAGAGTCGATCTTAAAATTCTTGAGTTATTATAAATTCCACCTTATTTCCATGTACTTAAAAATCAAAAAAAAAAAAAAAATACAAATCAAAAAAAAAAAATACATAATTAAACAAAGAAAACAATCGCAATCATGAAATCATTTACAAGAATCGGCTTTGTTTTGTTGGTCACTTTGTTGGCTATTGTAAAAATTGCAAGCGCTTGCGATGAGTGTAAACAACCAGGAAAAGGAGTTGCTAGTCGTGCGGAGCCAATGGTGGAATAACGAAGTTTATATATTATTTTACCATTTTCTTCAAATTTTCAATATCTATGTTGCTTATTAACGTATCAATATTTTCTTCAAAATTTTATTTTTTATTTTCATTCTTGCTTTATGACTTTATTCTTTTCTCCCCTTAAACTCGCTAATTCATTACACTTTTCATTGTTGTACCGACCCCCTTTTTCTTAATATTGCATATCTATTTGCAAAATAATAAATATTTTACTTTGAATTTTTAAATGCATGCGTGATTTGACATCAGTATATGTTGTCTAAATATTAAAAATTTATATTAACGCCAACTCCCGATCTTAAGTGGATATAAGAATCAATGAGAAATTTTTACTTCTCGGAATGCCCTTCTTAATCAATCCTGTAGTATGGAAACGGGTTTGGATGATGAAATTAAAACGTATCTGACCAAAAAGTTCAACGAAGTCAATGCCGAGAAACATGAAAACATGCTAGCATTTATACGATATAAGCTTCTTAATATCGAAGGGCATGTTTGGACAGCAAACAACGAGCAATATGATAATTTTATAGCAAATGTAGTTCGCTTTAGTGAACAACTTAATAGACATACTCGATCAAATGATGAGATCCTCACCATCCGTGAAAAACTTGACCACCACCTTGAAGGATATTTGAGAATCCTGGCCCTGCATATACTAAATATCACTCCTGTATCCATCTCTAATGATCATCCAAGTAAATGTTTTAATATCTTAAGGCTAGGTTTTTAACATAACATAAAGATTATTGCTTTTATTAACTTAGGCTCATGTGAAGAAGATATTTTGGACGACGTCTTCATATCTCAAGATCAAAAAAAAATCTCACATATCATATATAAGTTCATTTGTATTACATATATTCTATTTTGTATTTGATTATATCATAGAGATCTTAGTTTTTGTGGTATGTTTCTCCCGGTTTGCGTTTACAGCTAATTTCAAAAGTCACGGGACGGACGATCATTTTGCAGATCGATAAAAAAAAAACTCGGTAAAACTCGGTATAGAATTTTTTGAAGAAAAAACATTATCGCTACGTTCAGATCAGTGTTCCGAATATAGCGAAATAATTTTTTTACCCATGTAAATTGTGGTTGGCTTTTTCAAATCCTTATAAATTTTCTCGGAAAGTCTCGGTTATTATTGGCTGTCTCGTGACTTATGAAATTAGCTGTAAAACGGGTGCAACCGGGTGTCCAAACATTTGATACTAACATAAATTTTTGCCATTTTCTCTTGTTTAAATAGACTGCCAGATACCATTCCGATATGCTTGTTTGTTGTACAATATTTTTTCTTTTACATATTTTTTTCATATTTCCTCAATCTCTTGTCTTACTTTCCTCTTTTGCATTTCCTTTTACCAATATAAACGAGTAACTAATGTATTATTTTCATCATTATCCTCTATATATATATAAACTCCATTTTCTAACGACATATCCCTCTACCATTATCTATTATTTATAAAAAACAAAAAAAAACAAAATCCATAATAAGCGTAATATTATATATCCTTTATCAAATTATCTTCAATATATTGTATATATTTAGTTTTTTTTTTTTTGTTTTTTAACCTTTTTTCCTTTTTTTTTTCCTTCTTTTTTTTTAAAAAAAAAAACCTAAAATAAAAAAACATTTAAGTTTCAGGAAAATTCTTTCCTTTATAAAAAAAACAGTTGGCGTTTCATGGTTATATTTGGTAAAATGTGGGGTAAAGAAAAATTGTTGGAATAGGAAACTGCGTAATTATGATGGTAGATCCAAGAAATAAAAAATAATCTTTAATGTAATGCATTAAAGATTCTTTTTGATTTTCGCATCATGAAAGAGGATTAATTACCTTTCGTGCAAAAAAAGTTATAGCATAACAGGTCTAAAAAAAAAAAATTTAAAAATAAAAATAAAAATAAAAATAAATTGATTTTAATGAATGAATGAATGATCTATTTGGATTTTCATAATTGTGACTGCATGATTTGGTTTATTTTTTTTTTTTTTTTGAGTGATGGGAGATTAATTTGGCTTTTTTTTTACTTTTTTTTTTATTGCTTTCTTTTAAAAAAAAAAATTTTAATTAATTTAGTAAATGAGATCCACAGAAAATAAACAAACAAATATATATTTCGCGACTGGCGAATTTTTTTTTTTATTTTTTGTTAAGACTAAGTATATTAAACAAAAAAAATCATGCATTTTGTTACATAAACTGTGAAAATACGACCCTTTTTTCTTGAAAAGGAGTAATAAAGAAAAAAGATGAATAAATGATCTCATTAAATTTTATAAACTCTCTCTCTTATTGCATTTATAAATAATTAGCCACAACCTAGTTCATGTAAATTGATAATTAACAAATATAAAACCGTCGTTGCGAAGATCGGTTTCAACCGGATTTGTAAAAAACCGATTTGAAAAGGGTCAAACCGGTTGCACCGTTTTAAATTCGGTTTTCAAAAATGCAACCAGTATATTTTAGGACAGTAATTTTCCTTCAAACATTTTCATTAGTTGATTTTTTCATTACACAAAATTTTTAACCTCTCCTTATTATTAATATAAAATTATATTGATTAATCATATTAAGTGTGATACACCATAAAAATTTTATCAATTTTTACAATTGAAATTGAAATTGTAAAAAATCAAACGTAACAACACTAATATATTTTTTACTACATACTTACATTTGCAAATTTTAAACGTTACAAATTGTTTTTTTAAAACTAACTCATCGCGAACATAATTTTTCAAGCTTGTTCTGATTTATATCTCATCCTCATTTATTTTTTTTGCGAAATAAACCAGAAGTTTCTTTGAAACAGCTGATAAAAAAGTTCACTGTTTCTTCCGTATATATTCT